ACTTTGGGAGGCAGAGGCAAGAGGATTGCCTGAGCTCAGGAGTTCGAAACCAGCCTGGGCAACTTGGCAAGACCTCGTCTCTACAATAAATCAAAAAATTAGCCGGGTGTTGTGGCGCATGCCTGTAGTACCAGCTATTTGAAAGGATGAGGCAGAAGGATTGCCTGAACCCAGCAGGTCGAGACGGCGGTGGCTGTGAGTGTGCTACTGCACCACTCCAGCCTGGGTGACAGAGTAAGACTCTGAACACCTCTCCCCCAAAAAAGAATTGCCAGTGCTTGATGATAACACAAAGCAGTGTGACTTGTGGTTGGGTTTTTATTATTGTTTTAGAGTCCCTAAGGTGCCCTCATATTTCCTTGACCACGGCTCCCACGCCCCAGCCTTTGGTCTCATGGTGGGAGGTGGGTTGTGGGGGTTCTGGGATAATGGATGGAACGTGAAGCGGTTGAAATTGGGAAATGGACCCTTGGGGCAGACCACAACTGCACCCAGATTTTGTATGGGTTGAATTCCTATGTGATGACTGGCTTTCTGACTGGGGACAGTTAAGGTTTCAAACTGTGCTAGTTAATCCTGGTACACCACGGATGGCTTGTAGGAGATAAGATGGAACCTTATCAGCAGGAGCAGAGTGAGCATCCAGCTTCCATGGGCCAGACCCCATGGAGGGGAAACCCTGCTCTGTGATCTCCTTTCTTCTTTTACTAAAGGCAGCAAAATGTGGACACTGGCTCCTCCTCTGACCTTCTTGCTCCCAGATTCCTTGTTGGAGCTAGTCACAGCTTCAGATTAAGAACAAGAAAGACATGTGATTTGAGTTTCAGTTCCAAATGTGACAAGATGATTTGGGGCAAGCCATAAAACCTCCACGGGGCTCAGTTTCTTCATCTGTTATATAAACACTGATATTTGTCCTGCTTACTTCACAGGGTTATTGTGAAAAGTGGATAGAATAACAGAAATGAAGAAATGTGGCCCACTGCCACAGGGAGGTGCACCATTGTACATGGTGGCCTCAAACTTGAGCGTGTATCAGTGTCACCTGGCAGCCTTGTTAGAACAGAAACTGCTGGCTTCCTCTCCACAGTTCCTCATCTGTAGGTCTGGGGTGGAAACCAGAATTTCCATTTCTTTTTTCTTTTTTGTTTGAGACAGGGTCTTACTCTGTCACCCAGGCTGCAGTACTGTGGTCACCATACCCCCTTATTTAAACAAATATTTTTTTTTAGTTGGAGTCTCACTCTGCCACCCAGACTAGAGTGCAGTAGCACACTCCCGGCCACCACAGCCTTGACCTGCTGGGCTCCGGTGATCCTTCCGTCTCAGCCTTCCAAGTAGCCAGAACTACAGGCACGTGCTACCACTCCCGGCTAATTTTTGATTTAATATAAAGACGAGGTCTTGCCAAGCTGCCTGGGTGGGTCTCGAACCTGCAGGCTCAGGCAATCCACTCGCCTCGGCCTCCTAGTGCTGGGATTACAGGCTGAGCCACCAAGCCCAGCCATTTAAAAAAAATTTTAATGGAGAGAGGGCTTTGCGATGTTGCCCAGGCTAATCTTGAACTCCTAGTCTCCTCTTGCCTTGGTCTCCCAAAACACTGGAATTACAAACTTAAGCCACAGTGACTGGTCTAGAATTTCCATTTCGAATAAACTCCCAGGTAGTTATTTTGTTGTTGGTCTGAGGATCACACTTTGAGAACTGACTTAGATTTTTTTTTTTTTTTTTTTTTGAGTTGGAGTCTCACTCTGTCGCCCACACTGGAGTGCAGTGGCCGCTCCTGGCCATCACAGCCTCAACCTGCTGGGCTCCAGCGATCCTTCCGCCTCAGCCTTCCAAGTAGCTAGAACTACAGGCGTGCGCTACCACGCCCAGCTAATTTTTTGATTTATTGTAGAGATGAGGTCTCGCCAAGTTGCCCAGGCAGGTCTTGAACCCTGGGCTCAGGCAATACACTCACCTCAGCCTCCCAAAGGCGCGGGATTACAAGCTGAGCCACCAAGCCCGGCAGAACTGACTTAGATTTATAAGGATGGGCTTTGGAGTTGGGTTTGAGTCCTGGCTGTACCACTTCCTGTCTTCATGTCTGAGGGCAAATGACTTAATTTCTAAATTTCAGCTTGCTTAGTTGTAAGCAGGACAATATTGTATTGTGAGGATTAATATGTGGCTTTGTGTATGCAATTCTTAGCACAGTACCTAGGACATGGTACAAATTAAAGAGTAGTATTTATGATTATATAAAAGTGATTTAGTCGTATTATCTGTATACTGCAGTATGCTAAACAAATTCTTCTTTCTGAAGAATGGGATTGTTTCAGGAAGTTCTCTATTCAAAACTGCACACTTTGGGAAATCCTAAAATGTTTTAAAGAAACATGATATCAAATAGTAGAAAGTTTATTTAATATATAACTTGAAGGAAAATGTTGCCCAGACTGGAGTGCAGTGGCCGTTCCCGGCCACCGCAGCCTCGACCTGCTGGGCTCCAGTGATCCTTCCGCCAAGTTGCCCAGGCGGGTCTCGAACCCGCGGGCTCAGGCAATCCACTCACCTCAGCCTCCCAAAGCGCGGGATTACAGGCTAAGCCACCGAGCCCGGCTACATTTTATTTTTATATAGTAAATATTGATAGACATACCAATTCATTCTATGAATTGAGTTTACCTTCCCTTCTTTTCCTTTACATTTAGTGCATCTATGCATACGTTCGAGGAGTAGTAGAGTTACCATTGTATTAGTTGTTAGATTTATAAAAAAGGATATCATATTTTTCTTTGGAGACCTGCTTTACTCAATTGCTGAGATTCATCCATAGGGTTGTATGTCAAAGAGGCCCATGCATTTTGAATGCTGTATGATTTTTTATCGGGTGACGATGACACAGCCTGTTATCCATGTTCCATTGATGAGCATGTTATCTCTACATGCTTGCTACTGTGGGCAGTGTCTCTGTGAATGCATTGTGTACCATGCTCTCTTGTGGTCTCTCTGTGCAGACTGTGGAAATAGAAGGGCAAGATAATAAGGTATATGAAAGTCCATTCTCTCTTAGAGAACTAATGCCAAGGACTTCAAGGTCAAAAACAAAACATTAAAACTCTTTGTTGCAGAGGCCCCAAGGACATCACTAGATTTCTTTTTTTTGAGTTGGAGTCTCACTCTGTGGCCTAGGTTGGAGGGCAGTGGCACACTCACGACCACCCCAGTGCTGACCCGCTGGGCTCCGGCGATCCTTTTGCCTCGGTCTTCCAAGCAGCCGGAACTACAGGTGAGTGCTACCACGCCCAGCTAATTTTTTATTTGTTGTAGAGACAAGGTCTTGCCAAGTTGTCCAGGTGGGTCTCGAGCCTGCTGGCTCAGGCAATCCACTCGCCTTGGCCTCCCAAAGTGCCGGGATTACAGGCTGAGCCACTGACCCCGGCGTCTTACCCAACTTTTTATCACCAGGGCCTGACATAGAACACAGTAGGTATTCAAAAAGTTTTGTCCAAAAGACCTGAAGAAAATGAAAGAAGCCAGGCTCTGTGGCTCAGCCTGTAATCCCACGCTTTGGGAGGCCTAGGTGAGTGGATTGCCTGAGCCCACGGGTTCGAGACCCGCCTGGGCAACTTGGTGAGACCTCATCTCTACAACAAATCAAAAAATTAGCCGGGCGTGGTAGCACGCGCCTGTATTTCCAGCTACTTGGAAGGCTGAGGTGGAAGGATCGCCGGAGCCCAGCAGGTCAAGACTGTGGTGGCCGGGAGCGTGTCACTGCACTCCAGTCTGGGCGACGGAGTGAGACTCCAACTCTTTAAAAAAAAGAAAATTAGAGAAACACAATCTAAAATTAATTTTAGAAATAAGGCTTTCTAATGAAGACTCTTTTAAAAGAACTTGACTTGCTTATACAACAGAGCAAAAAGTCAAATATTGAGCAGAGTTTTAAGACATTGCCCTTTCAACTATATTTTATCGCTGGCTCCTAGTACTTTAAGTATGGGACATCACCCCTGGCTAAATACTTGTAGTATTGTGAAGAAATGGGAGGGGGCTCTCAGAGGTGTGTATTCCCGAAAATGACTTGGATTGCTGGCTTTCTACACCCTCGCCTCTCTCCTTCATTTGTATTATTCACTGTTTAACTTATGAATCCTAACATCCTTCTGCCCATTAAACACACAGGTAGGCCGGGCGCGGTGGCTCAGCCTGCAATCCCAGCACTTTGGGAGGCGGAGGCAAGAGGGATTGCCAGAGCCCAGGGGTTTAAGACCAGCCTGGGCAACTTGGCGAGGCTTCGTCTCCACAATAAATCAAAAAATTAGTGGGCGTGGTGGTAGCGCGTGCCTGTAGCTCCGGCTACTCCGAAGGCTGAGAAGGGAGGATCGCAGGAGCCCAGCAGGTCGACGCTGGGGTGGCCGTGAGCGTGCCACCGCACTCCAGCCCGGACGAGACCAACTCAAAAAAAAAGGGTGAACAGCCCATGTATGTATTTGGCCCAGCTTTGCAGATGCTCTTGAGGAAGCACGGTTACCGCGGGGCGGAATGCCGGAAACCCCAATGTTTAAGAGCTTCCCGCAGTCACCTTCACGCGGCCAGGGGCCTCCCCTCTTCCGAGCGCGCCCGCGGCGTGAGGCTCAAGCTGCTGCCTAGGGGGCGAGGGAGGCAAGGCGACCTCTGCGGCCTCAGGAAATCCGGATCCGGTCAGACGCGCCCAGGCCTCGCCCCGCTTAAGGCCCGCCCCGCGTAGGCTCCGCCCACCCGGGTCAGGCTCCGCCCCTCCCTAACCGCCCCACCCCCTCCGCACGGAGCCCCCCTTCTCACGGATATGCTGGAAACCCACCAGCCGGAGAGGCTCGTGGCTCTGGGCTCGCCTCGCGACCACGCCCCTCTCTAGGCTCCGCCCTTGCTCCCACCTCGTCTCTATCACGTCCCTCTCTGGGCTCCGCTCGGGCGTGCGTCATCTTTCCGCGCCGCTGCCGGAAGTGTGGTCTTGGGTGCCGTCAGGGCCGTCCCGGCGGGAGCCCGGGCGCCGAAATGCTTCCCGGTTGTGCGCGTGAGCGATGCGCGGGCTGCTGTCTCTGACCCACACTGTCGCCTTGGCCGCCGTGCGCTGTAGCCGCGGCTGTTGCGGGCTGCGGATGTTCTATGCCGTGAGAAGGGGCCGCAGGACCGGCGTCTTTCTGACCTGGTGAGTGGCCCGACCGCCACGGCGTCACCTGGCGGCGGGCGGGGTCGAGGGAGATCCGGGCTCGGCCACCCCCGCGGCGGGGAGGCTGCACTCCGCTGAAGCTAGTTTGGGATATCAGAAAAGCCGTGTAAAGCTTGGGCTGGCCAGGGGCCTGTATTTAACCCTTTGCCTCTTTTGCCAGTAAAGCATTTCCAAGAGGTGACACGTAGTCGGGACCCACCAGCGTTAGAAGAGTTTTCCAACCAGCTAAATTGGAGCTATATCTCAGACAATACCTAATCTAATCTTCCCGTGCTTTTAAAAAATTCGGGTAAAGTAGTCGTTGGATCCTGTAACGATCCTTGGAGGTGGGTGGGATTCGCGCGCTCTCTTTTTTTTTTTGAGTCTGAGTCTCACTCTTGTCGTCCAGGTTGGAACGCAGTGCCACGCTCACGGCCACCGCAGCCTGAAACTGCTGGGCTCAGGCAGTCCTTCCGCCTCAGCCTTCCAAGTAGCTGGAACGATAGGCATGCACCACCACACCCGGCTAATTTTTTTGATTTATTATCGAGACAAGGTTTCGTCAGGTTGCCCAGGCTGGTCTTGAACCCGCGGGCTCAGGCAGTCCACTCGCCTGGGCCTCCCTAAGTGCTGGGATTACAGCCTAAGCCACCGCGCCTGGCCGATTATTCTCTTTGATTATTTTATTTTTTTGAGTTGGAGTCTCTGTCTCCCAGGCAGTGGAGTGCAGTGGCATGGTCCCGGCCACCGCAGCCTCGACCTGCTGGGTTCAGGTGATCCTTCCGCCTTAGCCTTACAAGTAGCCGGAACTACAGGCATGCACTACCACACCCAGCTAGTTTTTTTGGTTTATTGTAGAGACGAAGTCTCCCCATGTTGCCCAGGCTGATCCCTAACCTGCAGTCTCAGGCAATCTTCTCACCTCGTTCTCCTAAATTGCTGGGATTATATGCTTGAGCCACCGTGTCTGGCCTATTCTCATTTTGAAGTGTAGTTACTGGGCTGGTCAGAAAGTTCATAGGGCAGGTGAGTGACTGAAATAGGACTTGAGCCCAGATGTTCTGACTCCCACGACTAGAGCTCTTCCCACTCTGTGATATCAAGGTTTATTGTCTGTTTCTCTATGCACTGCGGCTACAGTAATGAGGAGGAAGCATCTCAGAAGTTGATTTTTTGCTGAAAAGAAATGATGAGTAGAATTTTTTTTTCAAAGACGCCAGAGTTTTAGTATGTCTTTAGTTTGAGAAAAGCCCTGTGGTGATGGTGTACTTTCTGACTGGCCTGCAGTAGAATGCAGGGTGTAGAGTCTGACATGCAGGAAACAGCTAGAAACTGTAAGGTGTAAGTAACCCTTTGCCCTTTTCACAATACATTTCCATGCCCACAGTTCTCATCCTTTGATTCAGCCAACCACAGATAGAAAATATTTGGGAAAAATAAAACAATACAGTTTGAAAATAGACATAAAAAGACAATGTAGTGTAACAACTATTTACATTGTGTTTACATTGCGTTAGGTATTATAAGTAATCAAGAGATGATTTAAAGTACACTGGAGGGTATGCCGTACTTTATATGTAAATTCTATGCCATTTTTTATCAGGGACTTGAGAATCCTCTGATGTTGGTATCCGTGTTGGGGAGGGGGTGTTCCTGGAATCAGTCCTCCTCAGATACCAAGGGACAACTGTATTCCCAAACTAAAAAAAGAACCTTCATCAATTAAAAAGGGGATCAGTTAAAAAGGGAGGGAAGAAGGAAATAACATTGCATGTCTTTTTCAGGGATGAGTGCAGAGCTCAGGTAGACCGGTTTCCTGCTGCCAGATTCAAGAAGTTTGCCACAGAAGATGAGGCCTGGGCCTTTGTCAGGAATTCTACGAGCCCAGGTGGTTCAGAAGGTAGTCATTTTCATGTCAGTGTGACGTTTTGACCTAGTCAAAGGCTTTCATATCCCAGATGTCATTTGATCTGAATGGCTACCCTCTAAGCACACAGAGAAAATACTGTGATTGTTTTCATTTTACAGATTAGGAAACTATCTGAAAGCAGTTAAAAGCAATGGTTCATGTCAGTAACAGTATTAGAGTCAAGCTGGAACTCTGATTTCCTGATTCATTCTTTGTTTTCATTATGCTGTAATTCCTTGTCTTAAAAACACTTGCACAGTTATTGGGCTGAATAACCTACAGCTTTATTTTTTATTTTATTTTAATTTATTTTTGAGTCAGAATCTCACTCTGTTGCCCAGGCTGGAGTGCAGTGGCACGCTCACGGCCACCTCAGCATCTACCTGCTAGTCTCAGGTGAGGTGATCCTTCTGCCTCAGCCTTCCAAGTAGCTGGAACCACAGGCACACACCACCACGCCCAGCTAATTTTTTGATTTATTGTACATACGTGGTCTCATCAAGTTGCCCAAGTTGGTCTCGAACCCCAGGGCTCAGCCAATCCTCCCACCTCTGCCTCCCAAAGTGCTGGGATTACAGGTGTTAGCCACTGCATCCAGCTTTGTTGTGTCAGAGTCTCACTCTGTTGCCCAGATTGGAGTACAGTGGCATGCTCACAGCCACTGCAGCTTTACCCTGCTGACTTAGGGGATCCTTCCGCCTCAGCCTTCCAAGCAGTTGAAACTACAGACGTGCGCCACCACACCCGGCTAATTTTTTGGTTTACTGTAGAGACAAGGTCTTGCCAAGTTGACCAGGCTGGTCTCGAACCCATATACTCAGGGAATTGTCTTCACCTCTGCCTCTCAAAGTGATGGGCTTATAGGCATGAGCTACCATGCCTGGTGATAGCACAAGTTTTGAAAAGTGAGTTTCATAGTGTTGGGTTAAGGTTATTATTTTGGAGAGAGAGTTGGTTGCACCTATTTGCCCTTATTCCCACTCCATAAAATAGTGTAGAAATTATGTCAGGTCATGTAGCCCAGTGCCTCACTTTACAGATGCCAAGGGATTAAGTCAGTTGACCAAGTTCATCGCTGATAAAAGGTGGAACTAAAATAACAGCACAAAGGATACCTGGTCCTATAAGGGGGAGTGAGGTCCAGTTGGAGGCCCAGACTTCACCTGCATGCAGCCTACTTGTATAGTTAATCCTTACTTGTACCCCATACCACTATAATGAAATAAAATTGAATAAGTAAATAAGTTAAAAAAATCTGAACCTACTTTGAGTACATGATCTTTCATTAACGTCACTTAGGGACTTTTTTTTTTTTTTTTTTGAGTTGGAGTCTCACCCTGTCGCCCATACTGGAGTGAAGTGGTCACTCCCAACCACCGCAGCCTCGACCTGCTGGGCTCCGATGATCCTTCTGCCTCAGCCTTCCAAATAGCTGGAACTATAGGCTCACGTTACCACGCCTGGCTAATTTTTTTATTTATTGTAGAGATGAGGTCTCGCCTGCCCAGGCGGGTCTCGAATCCGCGGGCTCAGGGAATCCACTCACCTCAGCCTCCCAAAGGCGTGGGATTACAGGCTGAGTTACCGAGCCCGGCACTTAGGGACATTTTTACTACTGCAGATTAAGATAGCAGAGTGCCAGCCCAGGCAACTTGGTGAGACCTCGTCTCTACAATAAATAAAAAATTAGCCAGGCGTGGTAGCTCTTGCCTGTAGTTCAAGCTACTTAGAAGGCTGAGGTGGAAGGATCACCGAAACTCAGTAGGGGTGCCTGTGAGTGTGCCACTGCACCCTCAGCCTGGGCAGCAGAATGAGACTCCAACTCAAAAAAGAAAAAAAAAAAAAAAAAAGACAGGAGAGCATAGCTTTAATCACCTTCTCTTGAACAATTTCTCTCGAAGCCACTGAAATGCTCTAATGCTGGGCAACTGCTCTTTGAGAAGTCATAACAGACAGTTCTGAGAGGGGCAGGTCATACTCAGAATGATTTAAGGTTTATTTACTCAAGGAAAAAGCAGAGTTTTGTGAAGTAAAATGTACTTGACAATTGTGGTTTTCCTCTCCTTCAAAGTCTTATTCTTTACAAAGTGCCACTCTAATTTAACTTTCTCTGTTATAGTAAATAAAACTAGCATTTATATCAGTGCTAAAATTCTACGAAATTGCACTTTGATCTGGACCTGTGTATGCTTTTACTCCTGTAGAGTACCTAGAGAAATGTTTTCCAGGTAAATCTATGGTGACACAAAGCATGGTAGAGTGGGAATGCCAGACGTTGTTGCATGTGTCACACTCAGTTGTTCCCAGGCTCCATTAGCATTCTTCCGAGAGGTGTGACTTGAGAAGCTACACGAGGCTGATATATTCCCTTTTTCCTATTTAGTAGATGCTCAATACGTGGTAATGCCCCATTTCTCCATCTCTGCTTTAGGAGTTTAGAGCTGAAAGTGAGTTTTATAGTGTTGCATTAAGGTTGTTATTATGAAGAGATAGTTGTCCCTTCTGTGCCCTATTCCCACTCCATAAAATAGTGTAGAAAAAGTCATGTTAATGTCAGGTCATCTAGTCTAGTGCCTCACTTGACAGAAGCTTAGAGGGATCAAGCCAGTTGACCGAGTTCACAACTGATAAAAAGGTAGAGCTCAAATTGAAACTCTGGTTTTTTGAATACTGGTCTTATTTATCTCTACTTCAGCGACCATGATGTTAAGAATGAGGAGGGGCCAGGTGCAGTGGCTCAGTCTGTAATCCCAAGACTTTGGGAGGCTGAGGTGAGAGGATTACTTGAGCCTAGGGGTTCGAGACCAGTCTGTGCAACTTGGTGAGACCTTGTCTCCACAGTAAATCACAAAAAAACAAGTAGCCAGGCCTGGTGGCGTGCATCTGTAGTTCCAGCTACTTGGAAGGCTGTGGCAGAAGAATCACCTAAACCCAGCAGGTCAAGTCTGTGGTGGCCATGAGCATGCCACTTCACTCCAGTCTGGGCAAAAAGAAGTGAGACTCCAACTCAAAAAAAAAAAAAAAAAAGGAGGTATTGACTCCTCCCAGATAATCCTGAGATGGAATTTGAGGCATTTGGGATTAACTTTGAGTTTGCACTAAAGAAAAACTCTGCTGCTGAAGAAAAACTGCCATTGTACTGCCCCTGAAAGTACCCAGTCTCTTCCATTATTTTCGTTTCTGCTTCCCTTAAGATGTCCATTTATTTAAGCCTAGACTTACACTCTCTTAGCCTCCCTAGAGGTTCTTGCAGCCTTGAGCTTTTGAACTCAGGCGATCCTTCTGCCTCCACTTTCCAAGTAGCTGATATTACAGGCAGGCACCACCATACCTGGCTAATTTTTTGACTTATTGTATCTCCTCAAGTTGCCCATGCTGATCTCAAACCCCTGGCTCAGGCAATCCTCTAGCCTCTGCCTCCCAAAGTGCTGGGATTACAGGCATGAGCCACTGTGCCTGACCAAAATGTGTGCTCTTGTTTTTCTTGGAGAAACAGCCCTTTAGATTTTCAAACTAAATGCAATTCTTAAAGAGTTAAGAACCCTTGGTATCTCTTATCCCCATCAAAACCAGATGTAGTTGTTAGTAGAAACCTTGCTATTGTCTTCACATTGCCCTAATCAAACTTACCTTGGAAAATTTAGCGTTACTTCACAGGACATCAAAGTCAGGTGGTGTGGACCAAGTCATTCCCTCTTTGTAGGCCACACACAGAGGGTGTTTAGGTCTGATTTAATGATATTAAATAACATACTCTATTTCTTCATTCTTAAGCATTTCATGCTTTGTTTGTAGTTTCTGGTTCACAAGTAGACTCTTTGTTTCAGGGCAGAAAAATAAAGATGTAAAAGAATCACAAATTAAAGCTAGCAAGCGACTCTGTGAGCCATTTGATGAAGATGGAGATGACAGCACAGAGCCGTGTGCAAAGCATGTCAAGCAGAACACAGAGCTGGCCCCTTCTGTTGGCAAAGACACATTTTCTTATATGGGTATTTCTTTCTTGAATTTTTTAATTTTTTAATATAACAATCATGTGCAAATATATATGTAAAAGCTTTTCCCAATTTGTTAATTGGGAAATTTGAGCTGATGTTTATTATCATTCTTACCTGTAAAGGTTTTTAGAAATCATGGATGTTACTATTTTATCATTGATCAAGTGGTGCAAAACTAAATTACTGGATGTTCTAGGAAAGCCATCATATAGACTACAAATAAAAAACTTTTATCTTTTGAAATACTGGCATTCCCTATGCATGCTATACTTAGGTCACTAAGGTAAAGAAAATGCAGAAACTTCAGCTTCTTCATATAAGAAAGGTCCTAGACAGAACTGCTTGTTATAACTGATTAGCATCAGCATTTTTACCTTTAATATTCAATCTTTGCAAAACATAGGCGATTCTCTTTATCCTAAGAAGCAGGATAGTAATGAGCTTTTCTTCTACCTTAAACTCTAGGACTCCATTGTATATATTTAGTGACATACAGTATGTATGTGTCTTTTATACATATGGACAGAAAATAGAAATAAGTAACACTTTTAAACATAAACTAGTGTATTTGTAGATTCTAATTTAATTGGAGGGAAATCAATAGAAAATGTTTTGTCAAGCTGTATTTATTAGATCAGTTTTGCGGTTATGTAAAAAAAAAAATTTGTTATTCGGTTATAGGAATAGGAATTGAAGTAAATATTTATGGAATAACAGGAAGATGAGCCACTTCCATTGTGCTGACAGTTGCTTGAATCATGGTGGCCCTTAAGATGATATGTGATCGGTGCTCACAGTTGAGACAGAATTAAGTGGCTGAGAAGGAAGTTTGCAGTTGTACTAACAGAATCAAGTTCCAGCTGAGCTGAGGAGGCCTGTCCAACATCCACGTTCCCTGAGGCTGCCAGCCCCCTCCCGTAGGAATGAACTCCGTCCCTTCCCAGAGGCTCTTTTCCCCTTGGCCTCTGCTGTATTCAGTCCTTGGACAAAATGCTTCCTACACATGCTGCCTGTTTGCTTCCATGCCCTGCTCTTTAACACTTTGTAGCCTGACTTTTGGCGTGCTGGTCACCAGTGGCCTGAGAGTGGCTCCATCAGTCCTTTTCCTTCTTGTTCTTTACTGCCGTGTTATGTCAGTCAACCCTGTCTTGACGGAAAGAAGCTAAGATGGGGGCCACACTTGACTAGTGACAAATATGCCAGGAAAGAAATTAGGCCAGTGTTGGTCATAGGACTGGACCTTTTGGCGGGCAGGGTCACCGTTGTACTGAGACACCACTTGTCTCTGGGAAGATGGCTTCCTGAGGGAGAAGGTGACCCTGATGTGGAGAGGGCCAGTGTCATTTTCCTTCGAGCCTTCGGCATGGTATGTAAGCAGTTCTCACTGCAGTGGGTTCTAGTCTTACATAGTGACCCTCTCTGTGCTGAACTTGCTTGTCATGCAAGACTAAAATATAGGTGGATTCCAAGCAGAAAGTGTCAGGTGTCCCCATGTAGAGGATCTTGTTTTCCTGGGGAGAAAATTTTTACAGCATTGTAAAATACTCTCTCGGTATGAAATGCCAGCTCAAGCTGAGTGAATTTTTAGACTTGTTTCAGTTTTTAGCAGTATCAGCCCCACAGCACTTACTGTTTTCTCCCACAGGAGACTTTGTCATTGTGTACACAGATGGCTGCTGCTCCAGTAACGGGCGGAGGAGAGCGCGAGCTGGAATTGGCGTCTACTGGGGGCCAGGCCATCCTCTGTGAGTAAGCAGTGGAGACCAGGTTTTTAAACTTCAGACTTGACCGAATCATGCTTCAGAGCTTGTGAAAAGAGGAGCAGGATCTGCTTATTTTGTTGGTTATTTGGAAAACCTACCAAAAAAATAGCTTGGGCAGGGGAAGCAGAACAGAGGTTCAGTTGTGTTGACACTGTGCAGCCGTGTTCCTCAGAATGTCAGACACCTGGACAAGTCTATGTCTGAATGATAAGCTTTTACGCCAAATGACCCTTAAACTCAAGAGTGGCGTGGTATGCTGGGAGATGGTCTTGGTGAGGTGCACAAAGGTCAGGTCACCAGACTTGGAACCCTTTGCTAGACTCTCTTGGAGATGATCTTTTTCTTTTTTTTCTGAAGGCACAAAGTCAAGGTGATGTGAAATGCAGTCATCTGAATACACCTAGCCCCTGGATATGAGTGAACTTGATTAGTAGCTGGTAGCCCTAAAATTCACTATGAAAGATAAATTTAGGCTGGGCTCGGTGGCTGATCCTGTAATCCTAGCACTTTGGGAGGCTGAGGCGAGTGAATTACCTGAGCCCACGTGTTCGAGACCAGCCTGGGCAACTTGGTGAGACCTCGTCTCTACAATAAATCAAGAATTAGCCGGACGTGGTAACGCACGCCTGAAGTTCCGGCTACTTGGAAGGCTGAGGCGGAAGGATTGCTTGAGCCCAGCAGGTTGACACTGGGGTGGCCATGAGCATGTGCACTGCACTCCAGCCTGGGCAATGGAGTGAGACTCTGACTCAAAAAAAAAAAAAAAAACAAAGAAACTGCTAGACAGATTAAATGTAAATTGTTTCATAATAATACCACTTTATATTTTTGTTGTGCTTTGTAGTTTACCAAGTTCTTTCACTTTATCCTCACATTTTAGTTTGGAACTCTGGGAACGATGGCAAACTTGGGTGGGAAGTGTTTGTGGGCTTGCTGCTTGCTCAAGAAACATGGCTAATGCCTTTTAGATCCAGAGATTAAACTTAGCTCTTGACTTCCTGTCTCGTGTTCCTTCTGTGGTACTATACTGTGGTATTCAACAAAGCGTGAGTGTGGTTGGTTTGGTTTTTTTCCCCATTTATTCTACATCTTATGCTCATTACATTGGACTGGGAGAAGGACTTATACACCAGAGTATACAATTGCTCTTCTCTTGTCTTTCATGTGGAATAGGGATCTAGGGTCTAGCTGTCTCAGTTCCGGACCTGGGTCAGAGTCTGAAGAGGCTCCCTCCTTACTCGTGCTGGGGGATGGGGGCTACTGGGCGGACAGCAGGAAACAGGCAGGGCGCTGACCTTGGAGGGCTCATGTTCCTGGCCTCCCACCTGGGCACCTGAGGACCCTCCAGGGAGGTTGGGTTGGGGGGCTGGCCGCAGCTCCTCAAAGTAGATGAGATGGCCCAGGCCTAGGGCTCCTACTCAGGAGTTGGAAGAACAGTCACGTCTGCACAGAAGGGAGAGGACCTGAAAAGGTGCTGTCCTTTTGTTTTATCCTGTGTAAGGGTCTCTATAAGGACAGGGCCAGGGTAGCCTCATGAGCAGCCCAGGAGGAATCCTGTAGACGTGGACTGGAGATGTTGCTGGCTCCTGTTAGTGCCCCTCTGAGATGCTGGGCAGCTGCTTTAGACCAGTCACGATTCTTCCACAACTTTTTGCATTGGAAATGCCTGTTCCTTTAGGAAACTAAGTCTTCTGGTTACTCCAAGCCTTAGATATCTGGTCTGAGGGTTCTTTTGGTTCCTTGATCGCATTTTCCTCCTTTACTTCCTAGGAGTTTCTATTAATTTCTTCCTGAAATCTCACTTTCTCCATTTTTTTTTTTTCTTTTTTTTGAGTTGGAGTCTCACTCTGTTGCCCAGACTGGAGTGCAGTGGCCGTTCCACAGCCTCAACCTGCTGGGCTCCGGCGATCCTTCCGCCTCAGCCTTCCAAGTAGCAGGAATTACAGGCATGTGCTACCATGCATGGCTGATTTTTTAAATTTATTGTAGAGATGAGGTCTCGCTGCCCAGGCGAGTCTGGGACCTGCGGGCTCAGGCAATCCACTCACCTCAGCCTCCCAAAGGCGTGGGATTACAGGCTGAGCCACTGAGCCCGGCTACTTTCTCCATTCTTATTCCTGAGTTTTCTCCTGGGACTTTCTCCACCACAGCCACAGGGCCTAACCCAGGGTCTGCAGAGAACTAGCACTTCCTCTGACCTAATGGAACCTGGAAGAGTCAGGAGGTGCCTGAGGATGTTTGCTCCTTTCTGCTTCTAACAGTCTCTCTGTTGGTTTGATTTTTAAAGTCTGTGTTTTTACATGATGCTTTTATAGTTCAAATAAAAATATACGCTAGCTTATTGTTACCCATTAAAAGGAATTACTGTAAGAATTCGCTTTATAATTTTATTTTCTTTTGTACTGTTTTGAAACAGAAATGTAGGCATCAGACTTCCTGGGCGACAGACAAACCAAAGAGCAGAAATTCATGTAAGTTATCAGATGTATTTAAGTTTATCATTCTTTAGCATTGACTATTAATGTATTAATAATTTTTTTGTTGCTATCAATGTATGTAAGATACTTGAAGACAAAACTTGGGATTAGTAACAATTATGAAAGACAGGAATTTTCTAGAAAAACTCTAAAAACTAATTTCTTTTTTTTTTAATTGGCGTCTCATTCCGTTGCCCAGGCTGGAATGCAGTGGCACGAATGCTCATGGCCACCCCAGTGTTGACCCACTGGGCTCAGGCGATCCTTCCACCTCAGCCTTCCAAGTAACTGGAACTACAGGCATTCACTACCATGCCCGGCTAATTTTTTTATTTTTTATTTTTTTGAGTTTGAGTCTCACCTCTTGCCCAGACTGGAGTGCAGTGGCACGTTCCTGGCCACCGCAGCCTTGACCTGCTGGGCTCCGGTGATCCTTCTGCCTCAGCTTTCTAAGTAGCTGGAACTACAGGCGCACCCTACCATGCCTGGCTAATTTTTTTTTTTTTTGAATTGGAGTCTCACTCTGTCGCCCAGATTGGAGTGTAGTGGCACTCTTCCGGCCACTGCAGCCTCGACCTGCTGGGCTCCGGTGATCCTTCCACTTCAGTCTTCCAAGTAGCCAGAACTACAGGTGCGCGCTACCATGTCCTGCTAATTATTGATGTATTATAGAGATGAGGTCTCACCAAGTTGCCTGGTGGGTCTCAAACCTGGAAGCTCAGGCAATCCACTCACCTTGGCCTCTCAAAATGCTGGGGTTACAAGCTGAGCCACTGAGCCAGCCTAATTTTTAAATTTATATTATAGAGATGAGGTCTCACCAAGTTGCCCAGGCTGTTCTTGAACCCGTGGGATCAAGCATTCCCCTCATCTCGACCTCCCAAAGTGCTGGGATTGTAGGCTTGAGCCACCACATTTGGCCCAAAAACTTATTTCAAAGATGTGTACACAGGTGAATTATATGCATAGTGTTATTTCATATAGATAATAAAATAATTACAATTAGTACAGAAAAAGAAGGGATTTTCAGTTTTGAAGTATATCTGAACATCAGTAATGTCAGAGTTGAACATTTGCTGTAGCATGACTGTCGACTTGTTTTTTCAAGGCAGCCTGCAAAGCCATTGAACAAGCAAAGGCTCAAAATATCAGTAAATTGGTTCTGTACACGGACAGTATGTTTACCATAAATGGTAAGCTTTTCATGTTTTTTTCCCTAGTATTTTTCTAGTAACTATGTTGAGAAATAGGTCTTTCTTTCCCCATAGGAGGCATTGAAAAGAGCAAAACTTGGCTGGGAATGGGGATGACATTTGGTTGTCAGATGCAAGGGAGAGAATGAGGATCTGGAGTCGGTTCTACTGCTCCTGTATTTCCACATGATTGTGTCCTTGCTAGGCACTGGAAATGGAGTCATAAGCAGATGTGGCTCTGCTGTTGTGGCATTTCTAGTCCATGTGTGCATAAATAACTTAAGGTGGGGTACTGACTGCTTCTTTGGGAAATGCTGTGTATAGGAGCACATGGGGGGATGCTTACGAGGCCGGGAAGCCTTCCTAAAAGAAGTGACATCTTAAGCTGAGAGTTGTAGGCCAGATACAAATTATATGAAAGGGAAGAGAATAATTTCAGGCTGTGCAAAGGCCAAAGCAGCTAAGGCCAACTAAGGAGGTGAAAGGTCCAAGTTGGAGACTCAGAATACAAGTGGGAGCAGTTATACGAGGTTCGACTGGGGAGGTGGCAAAGGTCAGGACACTCCAGAATGACTCGTCAGTGGGTTTGCATTCTTGTAGGTATAACTAACTGGGTTCAAGGTTGGAAGAAGAATGGGTGGAGGACAAGTACGGGGAAAGAGGTGATCAACAAGGAGGACTTCGTGATGCTGGAGAAACTCACGCAGGGCATGGACATTCAGTGGGTGAGTAGCTTTTTAAATGTCGTGTCTTAGGGCTGTTATGACCAAGTAATCTAATTGCTAGAGGTTAACCATTTATGTAAGGTTTATGTGACTCAGTGACATAAGTTTTCGTGAAGTTAACATCATAATGTTTGTTAAACCAAACACATTTGACTCTTGAGTATCCTGTGGATAATACAGTTTTAATGTGAGTATTACTAGGCATATAAGACATCGGCAGCATGATTGCAGGATGTCCTGCAGTCTTCACACTAGTGGTGCATACTCATGCCTAGCCCACGCACACCTTGTCACTGTGAAGGGGGCCTGCAAGTCACCCTGTTTGTCTCTTTGGAACAATCTATCATGTTAAATAAAACTAATTTATAATATTTTGTTTCATATGATGGTAGAGTTGTGTGGTAAAACCTGAGTATCATGACTTTTATTTCAAAATGGAAGTATTTTTAAAATGATACATCATGTGTATTAAAAGATTTTTTTCAAGGAATACAGAGTAAATTAAGCTACAGCTGTAGCCTTCCCTGATCCACTGATAAGGTTTGGTCATCTGATATGTACATTTTGCAACATAAGTGTGGATGGTAGTTAAATGAGTACATCCATTCTTTTTTTTCTTTTTTTTTGAGTTGAAGTCTCACTTTGTCGCCCAGACTGGAGTACGTGGCCGCTCCCAGCCACCGCAGCCTCGACTTGCTGGACTCTGGCGATTCTTTCACCTCAGCCTTCCAAGTAGCTGGAACTACAGGTGTGCGCTACCATGCCCAGCTAATTTTTGATTTATTGTAGAGATGAGGTCTCGCTGCTTAGGCGGGTCTCGAACCCGCGGGCTCAGGCAATCCACTCACCTCAGCCTCCCAAAGGCACGGGATTACAGACTGAGCCGCCGAGCCCGGCTTACATCCATTTTTTAACAGCATTTCAAGAGAATGTGTGTATGTATGAGAGAGAGTATATGTGTGTGTTGTATACATGAACATTCATCCATCTGTACATACATGTATTTTGCCTGGAAAGCTTGCCGGGTTCCATTAGTAAGTGGGGAAAAAAGCAATATGAACAGTAAAATCCAATTTGTGGAAAAACGAAATGGAATTTTTGTACTTATATCCATGCATAAATGCATGAAGAATCTCTACTATGCTGTTTATTTTTTATTTTTTATTTTTTTGAGTGGGAGTCTCACTCTGTCACCCAGACTGGAGTGCAGTGGCTGCTCCCGGCCACCGCAGCCTCGACCTGCTGGGCTCCGGCGATCCTTCCGCCTCAGCCTTCCGAGTAGCCGGAATTACAGGCACGCGCTACCACGCCCGGCTGATTTTTGATTTATTGTAGAGATGCAAGCCACCGAGCCTGATTGTCTACTGCTGTTTAGAATCGTGCTGTGCAAAAGGAGCTGTGAAGGTGAACTTCAGCTCCTAGGTCTACTCCGAATAGTTGAAGGTTTTTTTTGACAATGAGAATGTGTTGCTTGTGTAAAAACTAGTAAAAATAAAAGGAAAAAATGTGTTTCAACAGATGCATGTTCCTGGACATTCGGGATTTAGAGGCAATGAAGAAGCTGATAGATTAGCAAGAGAAGGAGCTAAGAAATCTGAAGACGGAACAAAGTGACTTTAGTACTTGAAAAAACTTGAGCCAGTGGCTGTTTTGCTCCTTTTACTTACTGGTGTGGAAAACAGAGTGTGGCTGGACTATCACAGTGGGTGAGCACACAAATCACACTGAATCAGGGAGGTGTGATGGCATTCTTCGGTACACTCTGATAAAAAAAGGTTAAATGTTTAATAAATTGAATATCTTTGAGATTTGAGGATTATGCTTATTGGGTGTGATACTGTTCTTGTTTGTTTATGCAGTCTGGCCCTAAATGCCAGGGCTTTGATTTCTATAAGAAATCAACAAAATGTTGGTTAGGAGATTGAGATAAGAAGTCTAGAAGTATTCTGAAATTCTGAAAACATTTCATTTACCTTCCAGTTTGCAGGATTGAGTCTCCTGCTTTTACAGGTAACTTACACATTGGAGAAAGATGTGTCCCAGGCTCAGGGCACACAGCTCATCAGGGAGAAGGTGAGCGGTTTTAAGCCTTTTTACCATAAAATTAAAACATATAGGGAACGACACAAAACAAATATAGAATATTGAATTATTATTACTGGAAGGTGAATACCCTTGTATCCACCACCCTGGTAAGAAATAGTACTTTGCCAGATACTCCAGAAGGTTGTCAAGTTCCCCTGCAATCACCGCCCCTTCTTTTTTCCATCTTTTGCTCCGAAAGTAATCGTGGCTTTTATAGAAATGACTTCCTTGCATTTCTTGGCATTTCTTTTCTTTCTTTTGTTTTTTATTACTTATTTCCTTGCATTTCCTGATGACGATTTTTAGTCTTGTTCATTTTTAAGAATTTGATATTTCTTAAATCTCTCTTAATTTGTAGTCCCCCTCTATCTGTTTCCTTTACAGTTTATCTCTTGAGGGACCTGGACCATTTATCTTGTCATTTCCCATAGTCTAGTTTTTGCTGATCACATTCTTGTGCAGTTAATAAGCATGTTCCTCTGTCCTCTACATTTCCTGCAAATTGGCAGCTGGATCCAGAGGCTTGATCAGACTCAGTTGTGGTACTTTTGGCAAGACGATAGGTGGTTAGATGATAGGTGATAAGATACTTTTGTTAGGATTCCTTTTTGATATTGACAGCAGCTGATGCTCATTGCCAAGATCATTAATTATTTGGGGTTTGCAAAGTGTTGATACTCTAATTTTACCATTTTGCTTGCAATTATTGGCTGGAATCATTTTCTAAGAAGATACTTCCCTTCATATACTGTTTGGTTACCCAGTGGCACAGTTCATACAGAAAAACAAATGCTTGATTTTTTCTCTTAAATAAATTTTCAAGATAATGAATTATTGCTGTCATTCTTAAAAGGTTAGCAGTTGAGATTTTTTATTATATATGTCAAGAGCTCATGTAGTTAAGTATATTTGATGGGTTTTAATCTATTGCAATTTTATCTGTGTAGATATATATGTATTGTGTGTGTGTGTGTGTGTGTGTGTGTGTGTGTGTGTGTGTGTCTTAAGAGACAAGGTCTTGCTCTGTCACCCAGGCTAGAAAGTAGTGGCACAATCATAGCTTATTGCAGCCTTGAACTCCTGGGTTTCAGTGATCCTTCTGCCTCAGCCTCCCAAATAACTGAGACACAGGCATATTTTACTGAACTCAAGTTGTAGTTGCTCTGGTTAGTGAAAAAGACCTTCTTCATGTTAGCATTTCGTTTCTCTTGATATGCATGTGTGTAAGCACAGACCACTCACACACAGTCATTGATGGCCTCCTTGCCATCTGGCATGTCGAGGTGCTTTAAGCCCATCTTGTACTTCTCTTGCTCTAGACCTGTGTTAAAAGAGAAAAAACCTTAGACAAGTTAACTGACAGAGTTTGAGCAGAGAAAATGTTCATAAACTGGGTAGCACTTAGGACCAAAAGTGGTTCAGGATGTTCCCCCGCACAACGTGTGCAGGCTGTATTTATAGCCAGAGGAACAGAAAAGACATACATACATAACTTGATTAAGTACAGCCCAGCCTTTGCCTTATTTGGGCAAAAGTTGCTTTGGCAATTTTCTGCTTGTGATTGGCTGATGGCTCAGAGCTATGACTGGCTGAGACTCAGCTACTTGGTACAAGCTACACTCACTCTGGTTGCTGCATGTTTGCACATTAAGTTAGGTGACAATTCACTATGCACAGAGGCAGCTTTAGACCAAACTTAATTCAATTTAACACCTGGAATCTTCTGTTTCTCCAAAATCTCTGGTGGAAATGGTGTTTCAGGTTCATAATCTGGAATGCTTGTTGCTACAGAGTCGGTCATTGTTTCTAGTCCCTTTCATTGGACAGCTATAACATGTGCTCATGTATTTTTAAATTTTTACTCCAATATTTTATTTTATTTTATTTTTATTTTAAAGATGTAGAGTACAATTCAGGGTTAGATATACAAATGTTCATTGTGTAGGTACCCTTGTTGATGAGTTGTGCCCTTCCCTCCCCTGGCAGTTTCCCTCAACTGCCAATCCCACCCCCCCTTCCCTAGCAATTTCCCACTACTGCCAGTCCCTTTCTTATAGTATTATATAATTATTCAAGTTTCGCTTATAAGTGAGGACATATGGTACTCTGTTCTTTGTTTCTGGCTCATACACATTTAAAGAAAAGTATTTACTGAGTTCTTATTGATATTTCCGATATAAGTCAGGGTTCCAGGACTTTCAACCTCTTTTATATTATGTCTGTGTCTCCTACACTGAGAACCTTGATTCTCAAGACATGGGATGATGTAATAGAATATCCCATAATCATTCACTTGTTTTATTCTGCTTTAATATATAGCATTAAAATAACAATATTAATACTGTATGTTAATTATAGTAGCAGACAGTACTGCATTTTCATTGTCTGCCATTACATAATAAAATTGCTTTCTTTTGTCCTCATTTAACCTTATTTGTTTGTATTAAATGTTCATAACCAGTCCTTAGATCAGTGTCATCTTGGGAACAGTATTTTCTGAGTTTCTGTATGTTGAATTCAGTTTTGCTAGATACGAAATTCTTGGCTTAGGTTTTCTTTGAGTATCTGAGTTGTTTTATTCTACTTTTGTCCAGCATAAAGTGATGCATGAAAAGTCGAATGCATCTTATTTTCCTTCCCTTATGAGTCATAGACTCTTTTTGCTTAGATGCCCAAAGGATTTTTTCCTTCTGCTCTCAAATCAGTCATTTTATTAGAATGTGCTGTGTGTTGGTTGTCTTGGTTCAATATTTACATGTATATAGTATGCCCTTTCTATGTGTACTTTCAAATCTGTTATTTCAAGATTTACTTACTTTGTACTGTTTTTTTTTCTTGCTTGGTTTTCTTTTTTGGAGACCTCTATTATCTGTATGTTGAAACCTAATTTGCTTATTTTCAGTATTTACCACTTTTGGTATCTCTTCATTTCTCTTTGATTTTAAAGTTGTAGCTGGGTGCAGTGGCTCACTGTAATCCCAGCAATTTGGGAGGTAGAGGCAAGAGGATTGCCTAAGCTCAGGGGTTCGAGACCAGCCTGAGCAATGTGGCAAGACCTTGTCTCTACAATAAATCAAAAAATTAGCTGGGGTTGGTGGCACAGGCCTGAAGGTTCCAGCTACTTGGAAGACTGAGGCGGAAGGATCATCTGAGCTCAGTAGGTCGAGTCTGCAGTGGCCATGAGTGTGCCACTGCACTCCAGCCTGGGTGACAGAGTGAGACTTTGACTCAAAATAAA